AAAAAAAAAAAAAAGAAAAACTACTTATACGAGGGATCTTTCTACGCTAATAAAATTGATAAAGGTTCCCCCAATTTTTTTTATCTATCAAGATACTCTCTACCTCTGGAACCCTAATTATAACAGAAGACCAGAAATATTACCAGTACCTCCAATGCTTTCAATGCTATAAGAAGAGAAAATTATTTTGTAGACTGGTGACTGCTGCCACTTTTTGAAGAACTCATCAATGTCTGTGGCTCTGCCTCAAATAGTATATTTCAGGTTAAAAAATGGAGGCATGATGTGATTATATGGTAGAAAGAAGATGAAATGCAGGGCTTGGTCTGCAGCATGATATAAAAGATAGAGCACAAGCACTGGAGTCAGAATCAATCCTAGCTCTAAATTATACTAGATTTGGAGCCAATGGCCCTAAATCTCCGAGCCTTAGTGTCCTTATCAATAATATAAATAATAAGCTATTTATAGAGTTGCTGAAGTAATCACAAGTATGCAAGAGGAGGGGGGGAGAAGGAATTAGTGTGTAAGTGGTACAGAGTTTCAGTTTGGGATAATGAAAGCTCTGGAGATGGATGGTAGTGATGGTTACATATCAACGTGAATGTACTTAATGCCACTGAACTGTACACTTAAAAATGGTTAAAATGGTAAATTTCATTATGAATATTTTACCACAATTTTTTAAAAACAGTATGTAAGGCTCCTAGAACAATGCCTGGCTCTAAGTAGGCGCTCAAGAAATGCTAGTCTTATTGCCCTGATAAAGAACCTTAAATGAAACAGAAAAAAACGGAGACACAAAAAGTCAATCATACTCCTTTCCCAACTTAATGGTGAGAGGCTTTGACTCTCAGGCAGCGCCAGCTGGCACCACAACCAGTGGTGCTACAGTAAGTGTCTGGGTAGGAGAAGCGGGCGGTGTTGGTCATGGTCCCTCCAACATGTTCAGTTCCCAGTCCACCCCCACCCTGGTATGGCATCTCCCAGAGTATCAATCCTATGGCCCCCAACATCTTGCAAAGAAAGCTGGGAAACTTAACCCATTTCCCAGACCAGGCTCTAGACTGTGAGGACAAAAGCACTCGCAACAGCAGCTGGCTGCTCTATGTGGGGGAAGGGACACACACTAGTGCTGAACACCAGCTAGATGGGTCTCGAGCCTGTTCCAGTCCCCCGCATGGAGCTGCTCAGTAGCTCAGATGCCTTGGGTTGAATTTAATGGACACAGGACAGTAGTCGCAAAGGCTCAGTAAAGGAGTAGTAAAAATGCACTTGTCTGCAGTTCAGAGAAAACAATTAATGATTATGTGCTGCAAGTCATAAAATACAGAAGGGGAAAAATAGATGACTTATCTCTAGGCATATTAGAACACTGCTTTTGATGAGCAGGCTTAATTAGATCCTGATGCAGTGTTCAGATAGATGATCATTAACATCCCTCAAACTTAGCTCAAGGAGAATGAAATACAGGTTTCCCTTTTCCTATGAAAACTTTCATAACCATTAATTTATATGGAAAATTTTTTGAGTATTCCAAGATCCAAAGAATAACCTACCAAATACCAACTATGCTTAATTGTGTCCAGTTTTACGCTAAGTGTAACACCCTTAGAATTTTTTTAGGCTTTTCTGATACCTTAGGACACATGTTGCTAACAGATGCACAGAATAAGTGACGAGAAAGCACAGATGCTCACAGATGCAGTTCAAAGCTATGGTCCTTGATGCTGAGATGCTGAGTGTAGTTTCTCAGGCAAGGAGCTTGGAGGGGCCACTCTGGCTGAACAGGGTGGCTGCTGCCTCTGTCACAGCTTGCTGCAAAACAAAGGCTGAAGGCTATTTTCGCTTTTCTTCATAAAAGCGAAAGCCCTCTTCAGATTTCTTTCCATCAGTGAAAACAGGCACTAATATATAGGTGTTTCATAAAAGCAAAGAGATGTAAAGTGAACTCTCAAGAAGTGGAGGATAACTGTTCTTGGAGTACCAATACCAATCATTTCCAAAACAATACTTACTTTAGGGTCTGAGCTCTTGAACTTTAACCTTTCCACCAGCTCTATCATAGCTGCCTTTAATCCGCCTGAGTCTTTGCTCTAAAAAAAAAAAAGAGAAAAGTCTGGGGTCATTAGACAGCACTTTGCTGCTCTCTGGAACACAAACAGCACATTTCAAGGGACAATGAAACGGAAAGCAATTTTTCTTCTTCTCAGCCAAGAGAACTAAACAACTGAGGAAAGCTGCGTTGCCCCTCTTGCTCTTCTCTATGGACATGGAGGGTGGGGACATAAATTGCCCAGTGACCTGAGAGAACTACTGGGATGAAAATGAAATGCAATTCGTACAGGCTGACCCACTGCTTCATCTCAGGGCTCAACGATGCGTGTTCACTGAGGGCCGAGGCTCTGCAAAAGAGATTTCCTTCTGGGATATCTATTTTATGACCTATCGATTTTTATTTCAAACTTCTACACACCAAATACAGAAGTATGCAACATTAAATACTCTTATAAAAATAAAAACAAAGAAAATGCCCCGAGATATAATTGGAAATGGTATTACAGTATGATGGTTGAGTACAGGCTTTTGAATCAGACATATAAGGTTTCAAATTTGGGGACTGTCATTAGCTAGCTGACTAACCTCGGGCAAATCAGACTCTCTCGAAACCTTCTCCCCCCTTATAAATGGGGATAATAAACAGGGTTATTATGAAACTTAATTGAAATAGTGTTTGTAAAGGTATTAACATAGTATGTGGGACTATTAGCATAGTATAGTTATGTGCTCAATAAATGTCACTACTATTACTGTTATTATTACACTGTAGTGATTTAGAATAGTACAGCCCAATAAAAATGTAATGTAGGGCTCGCTGAGTGGCGCGATGGTTAAGAACTGGCTTGGGATGCCAGAGGGCCCCGGTTCGGATTCTGCATGTGAGGGCCAGTGACGCTGCCCTCCGCAGCTAGGATGCTGAGCAGCGGCTCGACCTGGAGCTGGGTTGCGGTGGGTCACTGGCGATGGTGTAGGCTGCAGCCCCTGTGGCAGTGAGTTGCCATGGGCTACCGTATGTAGCCAGCAGCCAGCGTGAGTGGCCGTCCAGAAGCCTGCGACTGATCTGCCTCACCCGGGAAGAGCGCAATGATGGTGCCAACTTGGGCCAGTGAAGCAACGTCCTTCACAACTAGACTGAAGAATAAAACGACAGCAACTTGTCTGTTCCCCTTCCCCCAATTCCCCAGCACTGTTCCCATCCCCCAATTCCCCAATAANCGACGGTGTAGGCTGCAGCTCCTGCTGCAGTGGGTTGCCATGGGCTACCATGTGTAGCCAGCAGCCAGCGTGAGCGGCCAGCAGCCGCCGTGAGCAGCTGTCCAGAAGCCAGCGACTGATCTGCCTCGCCCGGGAAGAGCACAATGATGCAATGATGATGCCAACTTGGGCCAGTGAAGCAACGTCCTCCACAACTAGACTGAAGAACAAAAGAACAAAAGACAGCAACTTGTCTGTTCCTCTTCTCCCAATTCCCCAGCGCTGTTCCCATCCCCCAATTCCCCAAGAAAAATCTTTAAAAAAAAACCAAAACACTATGTTAGGGCCAGCCGAGTGGCTCAGTTGGTTAAGAGCTTGCTCAAGAGTGTGAGCTCTGAGCAACAGGGTCGCCGGTTCAATTCACGGCCCGAGCTGAGCTGCCAACAGGTGGCAGGATGGCTCAGCTAAAAAGAATATAAATTAAAAAAAAATTAAAACTATCTTTACCCACTCTATGCAAAGCTCTAGCTCGCTGGAGGCATGCACCCTTTGAAACAGGGCTCACCATGGCAACCTGCATGCACACAATTTCGTCTGGTCCTGGGCTGTACTTACTAGCCATCACTGGCTCTGATTCCTATCCCTCACTCAGTCACCCCTAGTGGCTGGGATCTGCTGTCTCCTGCTGTTCCTCTGGTGTTAGAACTCAGCCCACTCAAGTACCCTGACATCGGCCCTGTCGTCCTCTGAAAACCTGGCCAGGGCTCTCTTCCTCTTTTCGGCATTGCTATTTCTTGGTTGGACATGCCAGTTTAGAGGACTCCTGTCCTCTCAGGCAGCCTGAGCTGACTCCTCAGGACACATCCCCCCCCTTCCCGCTCCCACCCCGTTCCTTTACTACCTCCACTCAACTGATTTGTTTATTAAGCCTGGATTTTTATGAATTTCTTTTTTTTTCACAGTTGAAATTACTTGGACTTATTTGCAAGGGCTCTTCTGGCTATTTGCTAAAAAGAATGAAAAATATCAAAACAAGAGAAAAGGAAAACAGCTAAGGTCCAGCACTGTCTCGTCACCCCAGACCCACTGAATCTGAAACTCTAAGGTGGGTCCAACACTCTATTTTAATAAGTCTCCCAGTTGATTTCCATGCATACTAAAGTTTAAGAACCACTGGTCTGAAAGAAAAAGGGTGTCTGACAAATAATTTGGACAAAATGTAACATCTCATTAAGAAGAGTTAAGTCTGTATTACTGACACAAAAGAATGTCTAACATACCAGGTGTTATCACAAAATGCGGTAAATGTTTAAATTGAAAAAATTTTATTACAGTAAAAGACATTAACTCCCCCTCAAAATACCCCCCCTTGTTTTGAATACACTTATCTCATCATTCTTCCCACTTTGTGAAGCAGTTCTGGAAGTCCTCGTTTGGGAGTGTCTTTAATTGCGCTGTCGTGGCTGCCTTGATGTCCTGAATCGATTCAAAACGTTTTCCTTTCATGGTCATTTTGACTTTGGAGAAGAGCAAGAAATCACACAGCGCCAGGTCCAGTGAATAAAGTGGGTGAGGACACACCGTAATGTTTTTACTTGACAGAAATTGCCGTGCCAGAAGTGATGTGTGACATGGAGTGTTGACATGATGGAGGATGAAGTGAAGACACAAAAGATGACTTCAGAACTGCTTCAGAAAGTGGCAAGAATGATGGGATAAGTGTGTTCGAAGTGAAGGGGAGTATTTTGAGACGGATTAATGGCAATGTGTCTTTTACTGTAATACCTTTTTTAAAATTTAAACATTCACTGTATTTGTTGATCACACCTCGTGTTCTGTGTAATAAACTCATAGGTGTATCTATTGTAAAAGATCTTAGAGGTGTATTTACACATGGAAATGCCTAGAAGGTTACACACTAAGCTATTAATAGTGGTTAACTAAGGGGAAATTCATTTTACCTTTCCTTTATGGATATCTGTATTGTTTAATCTGTAAGCATATATTATTTTTTATTTTAAAAAATCTAGGCATCTTACTCTCTTCTCTAGAAAAACTTGGAGGTAAAAATTAACTCAGTCACCAGACTTCAGTGTCTGGACTAATCAAGCTTTGTGAAGCTTTAGGGAATTCTTGAGGAAGTGAGTGAAGTAGAGACAATGCTCAGTGCTCCATGACTCAATCAGTGCTTCTATGTAAAGCTTCTGTACCAGGAAGTGACAGGTCACAAAGCCTGAGAGATTCTGCCTTTCTTAAATAGGCCAGCTTAAAAGAGGGATGGTGGGTTTCTGAGGGAAAACAGAACAGACTAAAAACTTAAGGGTTTTCTTGAAGACACTATTTATTTCTGGGAAAATTTTCTTTGTTGCAGAAATTATGTATTTAAGTGTCCCATTTTTCACTACCCGGCTCTGTGATCTGACAGTCACTCAACAATTATGATGGTCCTTCTTCAAGCTGGCTCCAGACACACACACACAGCATAGCATACACAGAACAGCACATGCACATGCATATGCATATGACAGACTAGACAGGGGCTTGGAAATAAAATCGACTGGTGGTAAATAACCCAGAGCAAGATGAAGAGAAGATAAAAGAAAGGTGAGTGTGTATATACAGATCCAAGATCAAGTCAGGTCCTAACAAATATCCTTTAGCATCATGGGAAAATCCTGAGGTGTCCACCAGATGCTCTCATGGGACCACTCAATTATTTCACCTCTGGCAAGTTTTTCATCAGAAGCATTTCATGCATTCATAAAGGATCCCAAAGCACTTTACCTGTGTTATCATCATGCACAGAGGCCACTCAGTGTAATCTGTGCATATCTTCTTGCTCTTTACTGCCTACAAGCATGTGGGTATGGCAGAAACAGAAAATATAGTTGTCTCCTTCAGTGTAGCTGTTGTTCCAGAAACCAGAGAAATTTGGTAAAAAAAAAGCTTTCTGTGATCTTTAATTATTAATTGGTTCACCTTCACCAAAGAAAAACTACTTAGGGCGGCCGAGTGGCGCGATGGTTAAGAACTCGCTTGGGATGCCAGAGGGCCCCGGTTCGGATCCCACATATGAGGGCCAGTGACACTGCCCTCCACAG